TATATTTTTGTTAAAACTATCCTCTATTTCATGTTTCCAGCGTTACTGAGACTGACGCTCAAAGCCTTGTGTCTTTCTTGAAGCACAGTCAATTGGGCCGAGGCACGCAGTGCTCACGTATATTCATGTGGTTTTTTGATGGTCACAATAATAAGCTTCATATCATGACCACCAAAAAAAAAAAACGTAGACTAAATATGGCTTTAGCAACCCCAAGGGATTCTAGGAACTATCTCAAGAATGTAACGGATCACCTCGTGTCGTCGTTGTCATGTCCTCTTAGGTGCCTCAATTGCTATGTCTGTTTACATAGTCAACACTATTCTGAGTTTGGCAGCTCTGACTCCACAAGTCCTTAACGTGAGAGCCGAAGTGTTTTTTGTGTTGTTCCGTACATTAAATAGCACGAATGTGCACTGTGAGGCTGACTGGAGGTGACCTCTTGCCTCGGACTGACCAGAACGCGAGAAGGAGGTTTGGTAATACGAGTATGGCCGTGCGTCAACTTGGTCCCTTTTTGTACATTACCCGTGACAGGATGCCAAGTACTTGTTAAACGACCTTAATTTATGCTCTCTCCATCAGCAGCGGGAACCGTTCCTCGACTGATTATCATAAGCCTCGAGATAATTGCATCTGGGAGACTTAATTAATGCCTAATTAATCATCAGATTAACGGGATGGACTACTGCTATTAGGCTTGAGGGTGGTGCGTGCGGTGTTACCATTGGTGGTGCTGTAATCATCATTATCACCGTAATTGTGATTATTAGGGTTATTATGCAGTCATGCTAGAAATTACATGCAGCCGTAATTGTAGACTCATTGGAGAATCATAGTTATCATGCTGACGGTGTATTCCATTGTTCAAATATTTGGATTTTGCTAAATAACACGTGAGTTCCTGTGTTGGCCAGTATGAAGCATCACTTAACACGGAGAGGGGGGTGACCCAGCAGTTAACGTCGTTACTGACCTGCGACATAATAAGCGGAAGAGAGAGTAACGCAAAGAGCTAATTCCTGATTGGTAATAACCCCGACACTCATACGAAGAGAGAAATCATACTCCAACAACCAGGATTTTAAAGGAAAAATGCATGAGCCATAAATAGTTCGTATTGTTACACCAGTATGAAGACAGGTAGATGTATTATAGGATAGACAGACAATGTGTGTGTGTGGGGAGGGGGGGGGGGGTAATCAAAAGCAGAGGATCACTTAATGTTGCAGCAACACTTAGAGAAATAACTCTCTTGAAACACAGGAATAATAAATTAAATACTTGGAAACTAATTACAAACTGGAAGGTCGTCCCTGGGTGAGCAATTTAGGAAATCACCATAATTCAATGAGGCTTAAGATCCACGGTGAAACTATAAAATCAATTGACCCAGGTAGCTGACCCTTCACGGGGAATAAATTGTGATATTATGAGTTTTAGGAGTCTTCTATAGTGAGGTGTCGTCCTCGTAATTAAAGTTGACGTTGAGAGATCTTAGAAACTACGGATTTAAGGCAAAGAAACCTTTATTACCTCTTGTGTTTGAAGAGCATCGATACTTATGGCTTAAACTGCATGACTACTTGACACTTACTTTGTCGAAATAGGTTAAAAAATATCTATTGTTAGATGTTGTGTGACCGTAAATTTACCCTTGGGTCGGATTCCACAGCCAACAAAGAATTTCCAGGAATAACCTCGAGGAATCTAAATTGAAAAGTTTGAAATAAATTGTTAAAAATGGTTCAGCAGTTCGAGAGCTAAAAAGGCGACGAGTGAACATAAATGTAAGCAAGCAGAAGCAGCATGAAATCAATCCATTAGGTAAACTTTCGCAGCAACTTCATGATTCGGTAATGTGCGCCCAGAATGTAGACATATTTCTGGTAGAACTCATAATATGGTAGAAGCCAAATGTTGCAGAGGATTTTACTCGTTATATGATATTCAGACACCATGGAATAAGGCCACACCGAGTCAGAACGACTGTATATAGGGTGTCCCAGAAAAATGTCCCTGCCTCCCTCCTTCCCTGCCTCCTCCCTCCCTCCCTCCCTCCCTGCCTGCTCCCTGAAACACATTGAGTTTGAGGGAGGGAAGGAGGCAGGGAGCAGACAGGGAGGGAGGCAGGGAGCACTCTACAGTCTTGTTGAATGCCAGAGACAGATACCTTCATGACCGTGACATTCTAGCCAACATGATTGTCAAACACGCCCATGAGGAGGATGTTCTGCACCCAGGCATCTGTAGCGAAGGCATTTGACAAAGTCTGGCATGACGGTCTAAATTATAAGATCCTCCAACTCGGACTTCCCACCAACAATGAAAAGCTGCTTTGCAGCTTTCTTGACGGCAGAAATGCCAGACTGAGGGTAGGACAACACATAGGAGAGACCTTTCCACTCATGAGCGGAGTCCCTCAGGGGAGCGTCCTCTCCCCCACCCTATATATTATCTACACAAGTGACACCCCGCCTCCCACTAGAATAGGTAACGAAGATATTATGTATGCAGATGACATCACTCAAATAACAACACATCAAGGAAAAGCGCGAGCGTTACAGGCCGACAACACCAGGCGGGAATTAGAAAGGGTAAATAATTACGAAAAACAATCCAAACCAGTCTCCCGAAATTCACAGTGATACTCTTATGCAGAAGGAAAACCCATCCATTAGTAACCAATAATGCCCAGATAGAATACAAAAGCAGAGGCACCCTCCTGGGCCTGCATATATCCACGACAGGTTACTCCCATCATGTCTACACCAGGAAGGAAAAGGCAAGAAGAGAGCTGAGAAAACTCTAACGCTTTAAAGCGCTTCCTGGGAAAATAAAACTCCGCCTGGTGACATCATACTATGAGCACCACTCAAATATTAAAATTACAGGTGGTCCAAATTGAAGCCCTAAGATTCGTCACAGGTGAAAGATACCTCTTCACCAGAACCGCCACAGAGATACATAGAGACCTGAGAATAAAACCCATCAACCAGCAGCTGCACACCCTGGCCAGCAGAGTCTGGCAAAAGATAGAAAGATCAGAGCAAGAACTCCTTCAAAGAGTCCCACCAGATAAAGACAACAACCATGCATGGTTCCCAAAAAGTTACCAAATCTCAAAAGGTCCATTACCACCCCCGATCTATACGGCCAGGCAATAGACAACCTCCCTAGACTAGCATCCGCCAGTAGGGTCGGCGGAATATGAAATAAGGCCCTCAAAACACCCATATATGGAACAGGGTAGGATGTATAGTGCCTGTACTGACAGACAATAACTAACCCATGACACAACCCTAACACACCATTAGCTTAGCTCGGCGGGGGAAGGAGGGAGGCAGGGACAGTTTTCTGGGACACCCTATATACAGAATTTATATTTCTACTCCAAACAAAACTGTAACTGAAACACCTTAGGTCAAGAAACTCCTTAACATCTTTATTTGAGCCCGAGTAAGGAAAGATGTGTCCAAATAAACTTGAATTAAAGGGGGTTAGTAACACTAAGACCTTGACAAAAAGACCAATGGATAATTTAATTTGATTTCTGCTCGTCTGAACGATGTTATATCAAGTTCACTTTTTTATTTATATATCCCTTATGAAACTTGCCTTAAGTGACACCTGTCAGTTGACAATTTTCAGGTATTCTATACATAAAATTTGTCCTATTGAAGTTCACAGTTCTTAACACACTCTTCAAATAAAAGCCAATATTTTGCAGCTCCTATATTTAGAATGTACAATATGTAAAAGCTGAGGCAAGTAAGTGAATACTCAGTGTTTCCATGTAACTAAGTCGACACGCTCTGCTGAACGCAATACCTCTCTGATTTTATGGATGCGGGAGATTATATGACAAACAAATATTTAATATCGTGTTTTAGCGAAAATTCATTGTGTCTGCCCTCTCACACAGGACGATGTAGGTATGCTAAATTACTATATTTATTTCTTCGTCTTAAAGGTGGATCTTCAAGTTACATCTATCCATTTTTTTTACATGGCACATACAGTATTGTTGGCCCGCAATTCAGAACCTTTAGCAAGTGGCTCGTGTGAAATGTCCAAGTATTTATTCACAGCAGAGTAAAGCTTTTAAAATAATTTACTATGTGTTTCCCCTGAGGTAAAATCATGATAACATTGTACAAGTAACATTGCAGTAATAGGTAATATAACAGTGAGAAACTCTTCATGAAGGTACTGTGCGTTCTGTGGTGAAAAGATACATTTCGCCTGGTCCGTCAAACAAAGCCTGTCACGTCAACCTACTTTGAACACGACAAAAAGCGTACCAGCTTTCAGAGGTGTTTTTTTTTTTTTAACAGCTGAGAAAAAAAAGTAACATTGTCTGTCCTGCTCACTGCCACACTCACCCGCGGTCCTCCCCTCAAAAAACTATATGTATAAAAATTAATAGTTGACAAATTAGTAACCTTGTACTTGGTATCAACGAGGTGGACGGTAATGAACGTTTACGTCTCCCCAGACAAACTGACAGTTAGAGTAAAAGTCATGTCATGAGCTTTATAAAAGAGTCATGTAATGCCTACTTCTCCAATGTTCACACTGAATGTAAAACGTTTTAGTGTTACAAGAAAAAGAAACACAATCAAGAAACACTGTCAGGCAATGTACCTTTACAGTCTCACTCGCATCAAAGGGAACAGTAGTTAGGATTCAGTATAACCTTTTCAATTTGCAGTTTGAGAGTAAGATGTGCACGATACTCAACTGGCAGAATATACTACTCTGATAAAAACCATGACCTAAAGCTTCACCACGTGACAGCCATTATACCGAGATTTTTTTCGTATATATATATATATATATATATATATATATATATATATATATATATATATATATATATATATATATATATATATATATATATTAAACTGGATGTCATGAAGTAATCGTTTTCAATAAAGCGAATGTCCATACGAGTTTGGAGGCGAATTCTCAGGTGAAAACAGTAAGGTACTCACGTTGACATTGACGCCAGGCAGGTGGTGCACTGTTATGTTGGGAACCTCTTCTGGCTTGAAGCTGAAGAACTCTCGGTCGTTGAGGTACCACTTGAGGGAGTAGAGGTTGTTGTTGGGTGCCGCCTCCCAGTGGCATTTTAGCTCGATGTCGTCCCCATGACGCACGTAGTCCGGCACCTCCACCTTGTGTACCACAACCTCCTCTCCCCGCGTCCCTGGTGGTCAGCACGAGAAGCACAGTTAGTTGCTTTTGTCAGAGACAGGGAAAATTTTTTTGTTTTGAGAAGCAGGGAGTATTAGTTGTTGGAGACAGGGGGTAGTTAGTTGCGTGGGTCAGGGGGTAGTTAGTTGCGTGGGGCAGGGGGAAGTTAATTGTGAGAGGCAGAGAGGAGTTAGTTGTGAGGCAGGGAGGAGTTAGTTGTGAGAGGCAGGAAGGATTTAGTTGCAGTGTAGGGCAGGAAAAAGTTAGTTGCTGTGAGAGTCAAGGGGAAATTAATACTTGTGGGAAATAGAGAAAAGTTATTTCTTGTGAGCAGCAAAAAAAAAAAATGAAAGAGATGTCACAAAATCATATCTTCTTATTTAGGTATTGTGAGGAAAAGATAACGACAGTATATTTATCGTGGTGTACCTACTGTGAGAGACTGACAGTCGAACTATGTAGAGTGAAGAAGGAATATACCTGTAATTAATATAACTAGTTAATGCCACAGGTAGAGAGTATTAACTAATAAAGGGAAAACAGTACTGGTATCGTTAATGAAGTTCTGAGACATTGGAGGACGGATGGTGTATGTGACAGACATATATAGGTAAAGGATGTTAATACTGTATGTTGGTAAGAAGCGTAGGCAAGATCTTTACATATGGGTCATAATGAGGAGACTTTGATCTCATTGTGCATGATGGTGCACGAGAGGAAGAGGTGACTCGCTAATGAAGAAGAGGAAATAGAGAGTTATGGGTGGCAAGATTGGTCTAGCCGACTGGTGAGGGAGGAAGGATAGGAGGGATTACCGGCTAGTGGGGAGAGGTAGATGATGAAGAACAGTGAAGACGGAGCACCAGACAAAATACGCTAAGTATAAGTTCTATGGTATATAAGAATATTGAATTATAGGAATCAGAAGAATATAAAATTAAAGTCAGAACAGATAAAAAGCTCAAGATCATCACACTGATAATTTGTAATGGTGTCATTCCAGTGATCAATGTCACCAATAAATGCATGTCACAACCGTCTCAGATCATCGGGGTGACAAATGAGCGCTAGAATGATACGGTTTTAGTTTCTACTCTCTTCGTACTTTACTTTGTCTCCGCCCCTAACATTATACGATCTCTTACTCCAGCTGTGAATCGTAAGACACATTTCTTTGTATTAGAATAACCCAACAAATTTATTATTGCTCTTGACATAATGTGTAAACTTGCTGACAATTTTCGAAGAATTTCCATCCAAAGACTCCCGGTATCCGTCAGCGGGGGTCACCTCTTTGTTGACTTGGAAACTACTCTGAAAGTGGCTCAGACCTTTACAAACTTTGATATCTCTTTAATGGTACATATATTTCTTCGAAGAAATGCTGTACTGAGCATTTTGAATTTTATATATATATATATATATATATATATATATATATATATATATATATATATATATATATATATATATATATATATATATATATATATATATTTACGCCGTCTCTTAATTTACTTAAATATCCAGGTTCTAGGCGTAACCAAACAAAAAGTGAAGTAAATTAAAAGAGAATAAAAATAAATAAAGTAAACCTTTAAGAATTTAATTGATTAAATATTAACACAATAAAGAGCCTCGTAGGCTGTCACAACAAATTGATTCACCATCGAAACTTTTAAGACAAGTGATACAAAACATCGAAACATCAAAAGAATAAAAATAAAGCATTGGATTACGTTAACACTGCATAAACATGTAAAAACTATCACTGAAATTAACTAACGTGAAACAACACTGAATTACTTGAATACAACTAGGCAAATACTGATGGACACAGAGACATAAATAGGTACTCACATAGATATACCACATTGGTGGCGACAGGAACACAAATAAATTAAGTTTAAGTAACAAATGACACTCAAAGGATGTGTACTGTATGACAAGAGGACTGAACTAACTCAAGTCAGTTGGTGGGTCCTATATATAAGGTCGGCTCCCGCCACGCGACCCGCCGGTGGGTCGTTTAACGATGCAGATGGTCGTTAGAGAACAAAGAATGCTGGTTACAATACAAAATGAAGAAATAAGATGGGCTTGAACAAATAATGACAGTAAAACCTTAACAGCACAGGGTAAGGTGACTAGAATATATAATAGTAAATTTAACACATCATTACAGGAATAATATGGAACATGGGAGCATGTTATATATAAAAAAAAAGAAAAAATACGACACGGTCGTAACAATATATATATATATATATATATATATATATATATATATATATATATATATATATATATATATATATATATATATATATATATATATATATATATATAGAACACCACATCCAATTTTCAAATATTATAATTCAGACTTTGGAAAATAATGTTTTAGTTTGGTCAGATAACGATTTATGTAATACGATTAGCAGAAATCTCCATGTTATGATGGACAAGGCCTATTAAATAAATATGTTCTTTATATTTTTAATACAATTTAAAATTAGAAATAAAAGTAACATTTACTTACAATTATATTGCTGAATTCAAATTAAAAATGAAGTATGTTATTTAAATATTTATTTTATTCCAATTTTTTATTTGGTCTTAAGATTTTATACCAAGACGCTCTGAAAGCCTTCACTGAGCATCGAAAATTGTTTCGGAACATTTACCTCTTGTCTGAAAAAGTCACGTTTTAAATCTCTACACACAAAAAGAAGAAGGTGGATCTGGGGAGCAATTACACTCGCTCTCCAGATTACTATGTTCAAGCAAGTATTTAAAAGAATCTGATTAAATTGCCAAAGTCAAGAGGAGCTTTAATTTCTAGTAACTCCCTTATATAGCATACCTGGTACCTGAGATGCAGTATGGTGAGGCAAGTGAAAAGGTCTAACACTAATGAAAATTTGTAATCATGGTCAGGGAGGGGTGAGGGAAGGAGTGGATGAGACTCTCTACCTCATACCCACCACCTTCACCCCTGTTTCATTACCTGCCGCTCTTGATGAACCCACCTTTAGTACCATCAGTGGCCAGGTATACGGGTGTGTCTTCCTGTTCCCGTGTCAAAGATCTTCGGCTCTTACTTGTGTCTATGTGAGGATATATGTATAAGATTGTATTATTACGCGAGTGTGTGTGTGTGTGTGTGTGTGTGTGTGTGTGTGTGTGTGTGTGTGTGTGTGTGTGTGTGTGTGTGTGTGTGTGTGTGTGTGTTTAAGTTCATAAATTCTTTGGAGAAATTTATATTCACTGAGAAAATGATGGGCTTCATGTTTACAAATAATTATGGGGGAAGGAGAAAAATTGATTGAAAAACAGTGAAAGAGGAGAGTGAAGAGGTGTTGCGAGTAAAGAGATCAGTATGTGGGAGTAAGGGTCAGTATGTGGGAGTAAGGGTCAGTATGTGGGAGTAAGGGTCAGTATGTGGGAGTAAGGATCAGTATGTGGGAGTAAGGGTCAGTATGTGGGAGTAAGGATCAGTATGTGGGAGTAAGGATCAGTATGTGGGAGTAAGGATCAGTATGTGGGAGTAAGGATCAGTATGTGGGAGTAAGGATCAGTATGTGGGAGTAAGGATCAGTGTGTATGAGAGTAAAGGGGGGAGGGGCAATGTTAGTTAAACGATGAAAAGAAATATAAAAGGGATAAATATGAGGGAAAATGAGAGACAAAAAATATAGTGTAAGAGTAAGGAGTGTGTTATCGTAAAAGAAAAGATGATTAGAAAGCGGGTGAGTGGTGTTGGTAGGCAGTAGAAAAGTGTAGGAGAGGATGGTATGTTTTCTGGAAAGGGATATCTAAGGGGAAAGGGATAACGAAAAAATAAAGAAAAGTTATAAGGGATTTAACGATATTTGAATAAACTTCATTGTGCATAAACTCTTGTTATTTAAGTCGGCGTCATTGATACCCCCAACGGAGTAACGTATCACTCTCCAACAATGGTAATGAGGTACGAGAGATCTCCAACACTAGTAACGAACCATTCTCCAACAGTGATAATAAAATACAAAGGCTCTCCAACAGTGACGAAGTATAAAGGCTCTCAAGTACGATTAATGAAGCTTGCAAAATTAAGAAACTATAAAAGTGAAAAAAGTCTTATCGGAAACTCTGTGCCGTCAAAGTCCTTAATTAAGTCTTGCTTAGCCGCATTTAAGTTTTAATTTAGTGAATAAGCAATGAAGAAGCGAGAACGAACTCGCCAGTATGCTCTGAGTCATAGGCGGAGGGGGCGGAGGGGAGGGTGTGGCGGTGTGGAAGGTGTGGGGAAGTGTGGAGGGCGTGGGGCGGTGTGGAGGGTGTGGGTCGGAGGGGAGAGTGTGGGGCGGAGGGGAGGGTGGGGTGGTGTGGGCGGTGTGGGGAAGTGTGGAGGGCGTGGGGCGGTGTGGAGGGTGTGGGTCGGAGGGGAGAGTGTGGGGCGGAGGGGAGGGTGTGGGGTGGTGTGGGGCGGTGCGGAGGGTGTGGAGTGGTGTGGAGGGTGTGAGGAGCCGTGGAAGGTGCGGGGCGACGTGGAGGGTGTAGGGCAGTTGAGCTGTGGGATGAGTGTGGGACGAAGATGGAAAATATGCCAGTCTGAGATGCAGGAACAGGATGGTGTGGGAAGGGAGAGGGAGTTTCTTGACTGTCTCATAATTAACTTTAGTCCAAATTCCTTAAGTGTGATCGAACTGTATAGCACAACAAGATAGAGAGCAGGTGTAAATAGTTTATATCATGCGTGAATATGTAAAGGGTTTATAATACGTACCTGCATGTAGCGTGCTCACCTGTGGTAGATAAAGGAAACTACCCGAGTTATATCTTTCTTTGTTTTCTCACAGGGACTGGCTGGTTATCGTATTAAAGATGATAAAAATATAGTTTGAATAAAATCCCATGAAACCAAACTCAAAATGAAAAAAATAATAATGCATTTATGCATAGTTCAGTTTTTCTTATTTAATGATTTCATATTATTTTTAGCTTTCCTTCTCTCATTTACGGGTGAAA